GACTGACTGACTGACTGACTGACTGACTTACTTACTTACTTACTTACTTACTTACTTACTGACTTACTTACTGACTGACTGACTGACTTACTTACTTACTTACTTACTTACTTACTGACTTGCTTACTTACTGACTGACTGACTGACTGACTGACTGACTGACTGACTGACTTACTTACTTACTTACTTACTTACTTACTTACTTACTTACTTACTTACTTACTTACTTACCACGGTGTGTGTGAATGGGTGAATGGCTGTAGTGTAAAGTGCTTTGGGGTCTGAATGGGCTTAATAAAGAGCTATATGAGTTCAGACCATTTATCATTTACTTCAAAATCATCTGAATGGAAACTGAATGGAAACCAAACTAAATTGCCCAAAAAAAACTTCTAAAATTAACCAACCTTTTAAAAATAATTGCTGATAGATTTGCAACTTTCTTCATATTGATTAATTTTTCTTATTTAAGTGATTGACTTTAAACTGCATAATACACACATCTGCACCTCTACTGTTCATGCAGTAGAAATGCACAAAAATCCTTTAAATAGTTTGAATGGTTCTTTAAAACTAATTATGGGAAACGAGTCACACAGAGTTGACAGCTGTCCCTTAATATTTTTTTTCTTTATGCTTTCCTCCTGAAATGCGGACAGACATGTTACTTCTTTGATTTTCCGCTGAGACAAAGAAGAACAGGCGAAGAGGAGGAGTTCTGCAGTTGTTGTATATTGGAAACATGTGCTGGGGGGATGGGGGGGGTCCTCTTGACAAGTCATGTGGTACGGTCCTTACATCAAACATCACTACACACAGCCCATGTCATTATATACAACCACACATAGTGACATCACAAATGTTCAAGATTGAATAGCTGTTTGGAACAAACTGATCCACAAGATCCAGCTCCCTGCAAAGAACCATCAATCCCATTTCTATCTCACATTGAGTCTGTAGGTGGATGAGCTCCAACAACAGGCATGTCTGGGCAGGTTCAACCTAAGGTCAAAAACTGTAGCCAGTCATGCTCTAATGCTTGTGTGCTATTTTGCACATTATCTCCTTCTAAACTAAACTACTTATTACTTATAAGCTTATGTATCAAAATTAAAAGTGGATTATTTATTTATTTATTTATTCATTTATTTATTTATTTGGTGCATCCACAAGTAGATTTTTAGGTGAYATATAAAACACTTGTTTTATTTGATGGCAAATCTGTGATGTAATAATTTACATTGTGAATGAGTAACAATTTAATAACAAATAGTGTGTTAAATTTTAGCTTCTTCAAATCAAAGTTTTACCAAAGGCATGACGGGATTAAAGGGTTAGTTCAGAAATGTGGAGGTGAGAATATGAACAAATATCTTACCTGTTAGATAGTTCTTTGAATGATCTAGGTTTGAAGAAATAAAAGTTTCAATACATAGAAGAATTTGTTTAATTGCAAAACAAATAAAAAAAATTGAAGTGTCTTCATGCAAACTATGTTTTTTTTTACTATTAATTTACAATTAATCAGCATGTATTGCCATCGCTTTTTAATTACCGGGTACATGTTTTTTTTTTTTTTGTTTGTTTTTTTTTTTCTGTTAGGCACAGTCCTTTTTTCTGCCATATGTTTTTCGGCATGTTTCTTGTTCCATATTTTTTGTGATATTTCAACAATTCATCAAAATTGTCAGCTCCTTCAGGATATTCAGCTATGACTTTTGGTATTTCAGCAATATTTATTTTTTAGGATATTTAGCTTTTCGGCTGTTGTTGTTCTGATTGAAAATTATTTGAGCTGTCTTCAACATTCTTAAAATTCTTAAAAACTTCCCTGCACTTCACACTCTTTGTTCTGTTTTTACTTTGTTTCACTTTTTGTTCTAATTTTAACTTGCTTCAGCTTCTTTTGTGCTAATTTCTTGCCTTTTCAGCTGACTTTATGCTCTTTTCAGCTATTTTCCTAATCTTAAATATTTTTGTGCTTTCATCAGTTTCTTTTAGGCTTTCTGTTTCAGCAATTTTGTTGTCAGCAATTTAAGCTAACTTTTTCTATTTTCATCTAAGTATAGCCTTTTTCAGCTAAATTATTTTTTGTGAAAATCCTTTCAGCTGTTTAATTCAGCAAACATGGTCTTACTGAGTTTTGTGCTAAATTTGGCTTTTGCAGCAAAGTTTGAGCTACTTTTGTACAGTTTTTTATTTTTAATTTTTTTAGATTTACATTTAGAACCAGTTTTTATACATCTTTTATTTTATTTTTTTCAAAACCTTTCAGCATAAAGGATTCAGGCTGCTTTTTTGCAGAAAATGCAAATTCTCTTTTTAATATCATGGTTATTATTAGCTGTTGCACTTCTGGCAGGAGTACAAGGATGTGTTTTTCATGATGTTTTATTGATCAATGCCACATTGACTTTGGTGTAAATAAAAGTTAGTTAAACATAAAAATTGCATGAACTCCTATAATGTTTTTTTCTTTTAAAGTTCTAAGACCACAGAAATGCTGTGCTCAATCCTAGCCAAGCTCATTAATTGGGTCAGATAAAAATTCTGTTTTTCCAACATGAGGTCAAAGAGGAATCATCAACATGTAAGATATTTACTGTTCCGCTCAACATTTCAAAAGATCTAAACATTCTCCTTGCTGGCACTTGAATAACCCAAATATACAACACAGATATATTTGTTTTATATTTTCTGTGCAATTACAAGAGAAAATGTCAGCCTGGAGATTTGTCTGACATGTGGACAGATGAAGGTACTCACTCTTGTACAGCGCGGGCTATAGACAGCGCCGTGGAGCCGGTCTCATTAACACTGTCCAAGGTTACATTTGGCAGGTCGTCGTCATCACTATCACTTTTGATCTGCCTCGGTGACAGGCCATTGGGGTCTGTATGCACTGTAGAGATGGGACACGGACACAGGTATCAGACACATGACACTGGAGCTGTAAACTAATAAGGCATATCACATTGTCTATGCTGAAAAGCATCTGCAATTCTAATAAAACAATTTGGCTTTAATCTAATCATCCTTTTAATTTGGTTTGTTGTTGACTGTATGTGTAATATTTTAATTTGTGTTTTAGCTGTGTGTATAATGTCCTGAGAACTTGGATTTTCAGCCTAACAAACTCAGAGCTCAACTTGAGGACAGAGCAGCGAACCATGACACTGAAAACTCCCAGAGTAAAAGGAGAGCATGCGAAAGGACACACTTGCACACATAATCTATGTTAGCCTCCAGCCACAGAGATAAGAAGCAGGGTGGAGCACAGTTTGACTGTTGCTGCAGTTGTGGAAATGTTAAGTGCGTTTGTCATTGTGTGTGTGTGGATTTTTGTGAACACTGGAGAATGGGCATGTGCATGCATGATTGGCGCTCAGCTGAGCACCTGTTCTCCTGCAAAGGCATTCAGACAATTCAGCTATCAAAAGTTGAATTGTTTTGCAGAAGGTCAACATAATTAGCAAGTACAATTCACCTGACTCTTCTCTTTGGCAAAGTGACCAAAAAGAAAATAAAATAAGGGAAAAAAGGAGCTTGCTACTGAATCATATTCCTTTTGATTACCATATTTATTCATGTATAATACGATCTCATGTATAATATGACACCCCCCCCCTTTAGCTTAAAAAGCATAAAAATTGGATCTTCAAACTACCTCCAATTTCATACATACTTCAAGATTTTTCAGCCTTTGCAGTCTTTATACATATCAGTAAAATGATCATTGCACTGTTCATTTTATTTTAACAACATATGTACTAAAAGGTATTTTGACAACAAATAAATGTCAGCGGTAGCAGCATCATATGAATTATGGCATTTTACACATAGTCCACCAGAAGGGGCCAACACAAAAGTCAGAGACTTCACATGAGATTTGGGCCATCTTGTGGGGGAAAAGCAGATTACTTCCTACTCGCAAGCACCCCCTCTGGTGGGGAAACATTTTTTCAGGGATACAAACTTTTTCAGATCACCGGTAGATGGCAGCCATTACAGACGAACATGTTTGTTGTTGTTCGAGGAGCGGCCCAGTCACATATCGGTTCGTTATCATTGCTAAGGTGCAAGAATACCCCCCCCCACACACACACACACACACACTTTTTTCACATCATGTCGCCTGCCTGGATCTGTTATTATCTCTCTCTGAAGCATGTAGGAGTGTCAGAGGTAAGCTCGCTTCAACTGCTTTTTACGACGCAGTCTCATCTCCGGACTCAATAATTTTGTGAACGAAGCCGATATTTCAGTTAAAATACACAAGTAAAAAATATTTATCCGAGTATAGTACTACCCCCCAACTTTATGGATGATTTTATGGACTTAATTTTACGTACTATACTTGAATAAATAYGGTACTTATTGAGCTACACAGGAAAGTGACATCATCCCACAAGTTGTGACAACTTTTCTCTTGGACAGCTCAATAGACACAGTGCTAAAACCCGCAGCTATTCTGTCCTTGCGGTCTCCATGGACACAGGCAGACACCATCCTGGAAAACTCAAGAAATAATTGATTGGGGGAAAAAAACACAAAAATAAATAAATTTAGACCTGCTAGAGAGTACTTGTGAAAGAAAAGGTGCTAAAATCTACAGCATAATTGCCACTTACAGTTTAGTATTCAAGGAAAACAACATGGCTGGGATGTTACTTATTTCTTGAGAATAAATCAGAATATACGGCGAAATGCAGCTCTCTCTCCATCGAGGTTTGCAGCATCCCTGACTGTAGAGCGCGGCGCTTTTATAAGCTATCAGGACTTCACCTCCTCTGCCCTCTCAGCTGAGACTGTGGTCATAATGGTCTGTAATAATGGTCTTGAGTTTGTAGCAGACACGGTGTTATTACCGGAGGGGGAAGAGAGCACAGAAACGATGCTCTAACTCGGCTGGACTTTTGCTTTTAAAGGTTTCCAGTGTTGTCGTAGATGAAGACATGCAGAGTGGTCAGCGC